ACTTGAATAAAGTACTTCTCAGCACACTACTAGTATGTTGTCAAACTGTCAGATTAGCGTCTGTGCTTGCAGACTACTATACCATTCTATACAAGTTGCAATGTATTTCCATATGCACTACTGGGTCTGAATCATACAACTACACAGACTTGAATAAGCACATCGCGACACATACGCATATTGATTTGTCAAACTGGCAAATCAGAGTCTGTGTTTGAAGACTACTATGCCATCGTTTACTCGTAGAACGCGAATCGTGCACAGTACATGCGAATACATGTACATTTCGTATGGGAAGTAGCAGAGAAATCATAAGTCCACGCGCATGCGCACATGGGATTTTTGCTCTCTCGAGTACGGAAAAAAAATTCGCCTGCGGGGCCACTACGTGAAGACGAGCCTAAGCGTGGATGTCAAGTTTTTCGTTTTCACGAACCGTCCTCTGACTGTCCTCTGTGATTGAGGTCTAATTATTGTTTAAATAAACATTATTTCCACGTAAAACTTATATCATTTCATTCTGTAGAAAGTGTACTATCAAGATATCCAAAAAAATGAATACCATCACATACTTTTTTCCCGTGAAAACAGCGATTGTAAAAAAGTGAAACTTTAAACGCGTTTATCTCAAAATTTGTTTCTGTACGCTAAAACGCTCTTGGGACACTTCGTGAAAACGGTGACGATGTGTTGTATTGAACTTCGAACTCCCTAAACCAACCAAACATGAAAGAAAAGAAAAAAACAATGTTTCAGATGGTACTTAACGAGATGACTACAATAACCCCAGACAAAATGCAATCGTCCCTGTCATTGTTTAAGAGCGAATGATACTCGTAGTTCAAATCACGAAGAAGTAAAAAGAAGTATAACAATAGCCTCTTTGACCTCTTACATTGTGATCTGTTTTTCATCAAGAGCAAAGGTATAATTGAACTTTACGACAAGCCCTCGCCGTCAATTCTTATTGTAAATACTGACATGTTCCACGCGTTCATATTACGTTGGAGGTATGACGTAATCGTATAGCAATATCCATGACGTCATGATTATAACTGGTGGATTATGCATGGTATTACCAGGGCCATTCCAACTTCCTGGTATCTCCTTGGTATAAGCCAGTTCACGGTTGCAGTCTGAGCATGAGCAGATAAAGGTCATTGCAGAACAAATTTTGAAATACACTGAGACGTTATACTGGATGCGTGCTCATGAAAGTTATGTGATCATTATTCATTCATGCACATTCAATGAACTCCATGATACACAGGTGGAAGTATTCTTTGAAAAGGGGAAACAAAGGTTATCTATATATCGCTGTAGGAGTGATTATTTCAAAATGTACAAAGTGGGACGTCTTCATGTTTTGAAGATCTGTGGATATTCGGGGTCATTGCAGTGATGTGCTAACCGTGAACTGGTCTATTACCATGGACCTAATACCAACGAGCATGATGAGCAGCGGGTCTACCAACTTCTCTAATGACTCACGTCAGAATGATCACTGACCTGGGGGTGTTTCATAAAGCTGTTCGTAAAGTTACGCATGACTTTACGAACGACTTGTATATGAAGTGCCAGATAGGATGCCCAAAGTTTTTTTCCTATATTTCCAATAACCTCAATTAAATTATGGCAAAAAATATACTTTGCATTAAAAATGTTTGTTATAACAAGAATGTTAATCTACATCTGCACAGTTCAACTTAATAAATAAAAATCAATAATGATTGAGCATCCCATTTGGCTACAATCCCCCCCCCCCCCCTCCACAAACAAAAATGGGCAGCGAGGTAGTCTTTTGTGCTTTTTTTCTTTTTCTTTCTTTCTTCACTTAATTCACATGTGTATGATCGATCGCTTTGCTCGCTCCCAAATAAAAAAAAGGATGGTTGATTCAAGGTATAGTCTAGCCTCTTTTTGATGGCCCTGGCCTAAGCGCCAGAATTTACGGACTCCAATAGCGCCAGGGCCATCGACAAGAGGCTAGGTATAGTCGGGATGATAATTATCGAATATTTTTGGGGCCCTACAAGTATTAGAAATCGTTATATTAATGAATATTTCAGCCGTCTCTCAACCAATTTTGATCAAACAAAAATGATTTTGTCATCTAAATTGTATATTCTTTCAAATTTGACACTCAGTTTTTCACTATTTCACAACAAAATTATTTTGTGTAGCGCCCTCTGCAACAAAACTCAACAGTCCCTTTAACCTGTATGTCAGGCTTCCAGTTCAATGAACTTTATATACAAGACTTGATAAATTCAAAGCAAACACAGACAATACACGTTATAATTATTCAAATCCATGCATACATGGATACATATTCACACACGAAATATATTTATTAAAGAATTGACTACTTTACTTTAGCCAAACCAAAATAAAGATTTACAATAAAGGGAACGTAACAAACAAACGAGGAGTAAGGCTGACACGAATTGTCATGAATCAAGATTGATACATGTAATTACAGAACCAGCACATCATTACATATGAAATATCCCCAGCCCCCCCCCCCCCCCCCCGCCTCCTAAGCCTATGATGACGACTCGGACATTCATATTTATTTCCGGGGGCTGAGGTGGTTTGCTTGTAAAATATTGACTCTCAGTTGGGGGGGGGGCGGGGGGCTATTTGATGCTCTAGCGCGGTTATGAAGATCTAATGATAAGTGACCATAGAGTTAGTATGAACTACTTAGACGAAAATTGTCGATGATACGTACTTGTAACAAGCAAATACTGCGGCCGAATGGCGCAGCGTGGTCGGACTAGTTGGTGGTGGTGGTGGTGGTGGTGGTGGTGGGGGGGGGGGGGGTTGATGGGTCGTGTACATTAATTGGGCATGCCTTTTTTTCTTTAGTTTTTCAGAAATGTATGTTTTCAATAAGGGATTTCGACAAATATTCGTGGCGATTTGTGCCCCCCCCCCTTAAGCTACGCCTAATCCGTGGGGGTATCCCTCATCCAATATTCCCTTTTCTTAATATCATTTTGTTTGCCTATTTAATTTTTATGAATAGCGACTTCGATCTCGTATTATAAATAAGTAGCAACCCTCTTCTTCTAAGGAATAGCGACCCTCTTTTCGTATTATGAATAGCGGCACTCTTCTCATATTATAGATAGCGACCATCTTCTTCGATTTTGAATACCGGTCCTTATGAATAATGAACCTTTCCTCAAATTATGTATAGCGGTCCTTATGAATAGCGGTCCCTATGAATATTTGTCCTAAGTAATAGCGAGTAGATCCCGACTAATTTACGGTAAGAGTATTTTATTTTAAACCTCAAACAAATGTACATGTATCTGTAGTAGTAGTAGTATTCATTTTCTAGATTAGCTTTTAACCCATGATCGAACTGGGTCCATATAATCAGACGTGTGCTTCATCTATTTTATCTCCCTTTTAAGATGAATTAAAAATGTTGTGCTTTTCAATAATTCTCACTAAAAAAAAAATTCGTCATGATTTAGTTTAGTCAAGGCGCTCTCCAACTCCTTGATTCAGTTAAAGTTTAGCACAGTTTATTCCACTCACAAGTAAAAAAGAAAAAAAAAATACGATACATAATTACATGTATGTTAGTTACACAGGTATATTGACAATGCTATGTAATGTACAGCGTAATGGAAAGTTTGCAAGTGGAAGGACCGTTTAAAAAAGTTACAATTGTACGCAAAGGCCCTGATTGTAGGGAGAAAACAAATCATGAGCATATAATTATGGGTGACAGAAGGAGACGAAGGCAAAGGGAATGAGACAGCTATGAAGGACGAAGAGAGAGAAAGATAGAAAGGTAGGCAGGGAGAGAGGAAGCGGTAGAAAAGGGCTATAGAAAGAGAGAGAAAGAGAAACATCTAGTGAAGTATGGAATACAAGACAATATAAAGTTACAAACAAACAAAATATTTCAAAGGGCCAATGAAAGATGTTGTAACTCGCTTCAAAGTAAAATAGGCACGACATAGGTCTAAGACTAATTGCTTATTTGCAAGAAAAGGCGTGGTGCCAAGTTAAGTTAAGAAGATAAATTAGAGAAACAGATCAGTGAAAGTTTGAGCAATCCGATGAAAATTAAGAAAGTTATAATTTTTGAATTTGTGATCAATCAAACACAAATTGGTATCTTGCGAGTTCCCCTCCCATTTGCATCGTACTATACATAACATACACAACAAATTGGAGAGGAGCTCGCAAGATACGTCGAAGAGTTGCCAATTTGTGTTTGATTGATCACAACTTTTAAAAAAACAACACGGAAATAAAAACTAAAACAAATTTATCTCGTGCCTTCCTCATTAGAGATACATTAAAGTGAGAGCTCTTGAAACGGTGGATCACCCCCCCCCCCTTCCCGTGACGCCCCTTTCTCTTCAAATGAAGTTGGCTGTCTGGGGCTGCGCCAATGTGCTATTTGTTAAACTTTAAAACATCCTCTAATCATTTCCTTCTAAATGAGTCGCGATAAACATCACTGTAAAATTGAAACTTGTCAACAAGAGAATATCACCCATCCGGCTCTCTCGGCACTCGACAACTCTGCTTCAAATCAGCTGACTAGTCTGTAAATTTGAACTCTATGAAACAGACTTGCGTCGGAAACCGAATGGTGTAAAACAAAGAACAACCGAATTCGGTCATTTCCAAGACTTCCTCTAAAACACAATGCGCAACTAGAGATGCAAAACGAACCCCTCTCAAAATTCAAATACGTTTTGTTCGTTGATTGTGACCATTACTAATTTAGCAGCTACTAATTTACAAATAGGTCGGTGCCTCTAAACTACGAATAGCTTGATGCAAACGGGCTAGGGGAGCTCTACATCAGCATCGTTTGCCCATATATATCTACGAGCGTCTGCTCCAAGTCCTCACATTCTTTTCGTCGACCGCTCATCGTAACGGACAGCGAAGAGATCCAAGTTCTTTGTCGAAACTGACCAGGAAAGAAAAATTATATTTTGCTACTTTTGAAATCATTCCACGGAACATTTCTCAGAATGGTAAGTGCTGACAATTTATTGTTTATTATCTTGAATCATAGTATAGTTAATCCTCCTCAAATAGTCTATGTAATAACAGATGAGTAAATCATTTTGAATTCATTCGTAAGACAGGACGTACGTTTCAAGCTTTCATTCGTTGGCGCTTGATAATTAAAGGTAAAGGGTAAAAAAAAAAAAAAAGGGAGAGAATTTTCGTAGATTAAGCAGAATCATGCATGTGCAGTCATTCTGGTTTTAAAAATAGAACAGAAAGGCGGCGATGACGAGCTGTTCCGTGTATCTGGTGAAATGTCCTCTGTGAGTCTGTGACATATCACTTTTATCTTTTTTCCCCCATCCAAATATGGAAAATCTATTGATAATCACCATTGGACACTACTAAAAACTAAATAGATAAAATAGTTCTACGATACATCGACTTGACCGAGCGACATGATAAATGGATGGGCGACATGCTTATTAGCTCAACAGCGCGATGCATGCATCGATCAGGTCACAGGTAGGTCAACATGATGAGCGATGCATTTCCAAGGTGTTTCGTTTCATCAAGATTAATTGATGTAGGCCAACTTCACGGACAGCAGTGAATTTGACTGTGGCTCGCATTTCAAGTTGGTCGTCTTACGTTGATGAAACCAGACTTGAATGTTTTTTGTCCTTCAAGGAAAATCCAACCTTGATAGCAAACCAATCTAGAGGAAAGAAACATCCGAGAAGTAACCTGGTGAAAGTTAGAATGAAAACGGAAGAAAAATGAGAAAGTTATGAAGTATAAAAGTTGTAATCACTATTATAGGTATGGGCTCTTCAAATTGGCCGAATCGCTAATGTCTCTGTGATGTAGTGGCAGACAACTTTCTCATCTGTTGAGAGAATTAGGGGGGGGGCGGAATTAAACTTTGATTCCTGCTCCTCTATCTCACGATCTTTTCTGAGCATGGCCATGGCTCACAACCGAGGATGGAAGGGGGAGAGGGGGGGAGGAGGGGGGGGGGGGGGGTGACATAGCTTATTCATTTACCTTTCGTAACAGAAAAGCGAGGTTCGATTTGAAATGTATAATGAAAACATAATGAGAACATTGCCAAAAGTGAGAAGGCACTTAGGAGAAAAAAAATGAAATTAATTGTATTTTTACACGACAAACAGGAGTTGCCCATGACTACGTCACAATCCACTGACCAAATTGTCTACTTCAGATTCGCAAAGATTGATCTCATGTTTCAAATATTCATAACTCTCTTATAATTGGTCCGATTTATTAAATACTTTCGCCATTCCGTTTATATTACTTGTCTGCTTTCATTCAAATTGCTGATGGATTGCCCTTTAATACCCTTGAATAGTTAAACTTGGCTGTCGGAAAACTAAAGAATTTGCTAATCAACAGTGTTACTAAAAATATGTTCCATTATTTTAGGAAATGTAGACCAAATTATAACACTGTGTTATACACTGAATCTTTCAGTAGAACATACATGTAAAGCTTAGATTTATTTGTCTAGATATACATGTAGGAGCTGCCTGGATATGTAAAGCAGATTTATACTATTGCACAAATTTAGGAAATTCCCTGTTACTCATATTTCCCAAGATCCCTGAGATTATAGGATTTTTAAAAAGAATTGGTCTCTTCCTGACTGGAAGTGTTGACTGCTCAGATTGCTGAGTCAAGGTGAATTTCTTGAAAATCCAAGTGTTTCTCATCAAGGAATCTATCCGTTATCTGGTCCCCCTCTCCTGTCGTTCAAACGTTCATCTGCATTTTTTATGTAATTCCTTTCAAAATCACTCTGAAGACTGTTATAGTGTTACCTTTGTTTTTGAAAAGTGCTACTTTTTACTTCAGATATGTGCTCCTTTTTCTTTCTAATAAGTGCGCCTTTTCACAAAGAAAAGGTGCTCCTTTTTACTTCAGATAAGTGCCTCTTTTCCTATCTAGTACCCCTTTTCACCTCTGATAAGTTCCCCTATTGTGATATGATAGATATGTGGTGTCCCTCTTACTTTGACAAGTGCCACTTTTCCCTTTCAATATTAAAAATGCCCGTATTCCCTACTTAGTGTCCCTTTTTAGGCCGGGTGCTAGATGTGCCCTTTAGAAAAATCTCTAACACGTGCCCCTTTTACTTTGATACGTGCCAAATTTCCCCTCCATATCTATAAATATGTATGAAAAGTATGCCCCTTATACACTAAAATGTTTGCCCATTTAAACTACCATGACATATTTTATTCAACCACGACATATTTTATTCAACTGCTGAACGACGCATTTTCCAACATATCTTATAAACCTCACGCCTTTTTGCACTTTATAGAATGCCAAGGTAATCAATTGCCCTTTGATGAGGAATATAAATGTTTTCAAACTCATAGACATGATTACCATAATATGTGCTACTTAACAAGATAAAAATAATTATAATACGAACAATTTATATAGCGCTTGTGACATAAAAGTTTCAAAGCGCTGTACACAAATCAAGATTACTTCAAGGAAAATCAATATTACTATAATAAATGGAATTAACACCAACAAGATGTTTTCTTTTTCTTTCTCATCTCTCATCTCTCTCGAAACAGTAAATTTCTCCCTAAAATGTGCCCCTGATTAAAAAAGACTGAGAGTTAAATTTTTCTTAAATTTCCCCGAAACTCGCTCTCTACGCTCGTTTGCATTCATAGTTATCTGATTAAGTAATAATTATATTGACGTCTTTATAAATGTTTTCCTTATGACATTGCTAAGTTTTAAAACCCAATTAATCAGGATCGGTTATTGCATCGGGGTCCGCTCGCTATTCATAAAGACCGCTATTCGTAAGGACCGCTATTCATAATTTGAGAAAAGGGTCGCTATTCATAATATGAGAAGAGAGTGGCTATGCATAATACAAGATTTCCCCATCTTCTCGTATTATGAATAGAGACCCCGATTTCGTGTGATGAATAGGGGTCCTTATGAGTAAATGGATGCGCGATTGCTCAGTCGGTAGAGCAGTGGTCTCGTAATCCGGTGACCCGGGCTCGAAACCAAGGCGATGCGCCAGTGCCCTTTGGTAAGGCATTAATCCTCATTACCAGGTCTCTCGGAGAGGACCTAAAGCCGTCGGCCGTCTGGTTGCTAACTTACAAGCATTTATGCTTTCTTAGCAGTCAGGTAAAATAATCACCACCATTCATTGTACAATGTGAATTATGAATAGCGACCATTATCTCATATTATGAATAACGGTCATTATGACTTTATGATTAGTGACCCCCCCCCCCCCTCCCCTTCCGTTTTATGAACAGCGGTCCTTCACCTTTAGGAAGCTCCACGTAACGAATAGCGGTCCTTATAAACAGCGGTCCTAATGAATAGCTGTCCTTATGAATAGCGGTCCTTATGACTAGCGGTCCTTATGACTAGCGAGGTTAAGAACTAATCGGTCGTATTAATGTGACCACCAAAATCTTCGAATGTTTGCTTGCTTGCAAATGAATATTCAGACCATCACATACAACATCAATATATTCGGCTGAAGCAGTATCTTAATTGGACCACGTAAAAAAAAAATCCAGAAGATCATACCTGATAATATATCTATTTTCGTGTAAGGGTATATGCAATGTCTAAAGATTGCAATTTTTCGCTTTGAGGTTATCCTTTTTGGTTGTCCCTTTTTTTCTAAAAAGTGCCCCTTTTTGCTGGGGAGCTCCCTTTTTGAAAAACGCTCCGCCGCCCATGTCAAAGAAATGGTTAATACATGTACATACAGCAGCAGTAATAAATGAAAAATGTAGCCTATACCAATAAGATTTCCAATGGTACATGCTATCGACTGGTTTCCTTATTAGTGCTTATGGTCTTTATTGAAGCCACATTCCTTTTAGTTTTACCAGATGATAGATCATTCCCTTTAACAATGCCTTACTACCCACACACATCTAAAGGTATACTTAATAGCATACGGTACAAATCAGTACAGCCTGGGATGAAGACTCCATGCTGTGTAACGAGGCAGGGGGGGGCATATTTAAGAATTTGCTATGGCGTATCCAGAATTCGATACACATCAGGGGGCGGAATCCAGTGAACGGAGGGGGTGGGTAGCTAAGGAGGAATCCTGGATGTGTAACATTAGCGTCCCATGTCATAGATCGATTGTGAGTCCCCACTGCAAGTTTGATTTGTATGTTAAATCTAACGAAACGGGGGGGGGGGGGAGGCGCTTACATCGGATCATCGCGTCGGGTCGGGTGGTCGAGCTACTCAATATTTTGTGAAAACATGCCCTTTTATTCACGGAATAGTAGGGGGAGTAATGTGTGTGAAAAAACCCCTTTCCTCTACAAATGGTCTTGTCCAATTTACCCGACGCTTTTTGAAAACCCTTCGGCAAAAAAGTCGTGTACCCCTACCACCCGACCGAATGCGGCACCCCCAATTATGCCCAATGTCTATGATCTTAAACATTGGTTTTATAGTATTTGTTTTCAATGAGATATTCGTCTCTTTTTCTCCACAGCGTGAATGTATCTCGATCCATGTCGGCCAAGCCGGAGTCCAGATAGGCAATTCCTGCTGGGAGCTGTACTGCCTGGAGCACGGCATCCAGCCCGATGGCCAAATGCCCTCAGACGCCTCCCTCGGTGGTCGAAGTGGTCATGGACATGGTGGTGGTGATGACTCCTTCAATACCTTCTTCAGTGAGACTGGAGCTGGCAAGCACGTTCCCCGCTGCGTCTTCGTCGATCTCGAACCAACTGTCATAGGTGTGTAGAATAGACAAATGAAATTGTTAAAGTAGAGTCTTTCTTACGTAGTGGGGAAATCATGTCGACTGACAGCCAATGAGACTCACAGACCATAGAACATACGCAGGGGCGGCGATCCCGAGGGGAACGGGGGGGGGGCGCGTCCTCCCTCGATTTCTTTTTAGAGGGGATCGTCCCCTCGGAAAATTTGAAAAAGTGAGGAAAAAATGTATAGGAAATACTGATTGAAGACTGCGACACACTTTTAGGCTCTGGAGGGTCCAAGAGTGCAGCGTTTAGACAAATAAAAATGCACAAATCTTCTCACTCGGGAGTTACGCTCCCTCGCATAATATCTTCAAAATGTACAAGTAGATTTTGTAGAAAAGTGAAGTGTGAAAAAAAATATATTGCTTGTTTTTATACTATTGTTCTTTTAATACACTAAAACTTCAAAATACCTGTAAGGGGATAGTCACTTCCGTCACCGTCACCCCTCTCGTTCACTATGCTCCCTCGCACTGGCGTACTGATGGGGGGCTTGGGGCAGTTTTCCCCCTCAATAAAATTCATACGTTGTTTATTTCTAATTCGATACCAGTGATGCCTATTCGATGCCTATGTACTCCTGAAGGTATCATAGATATGTATGCTGACGATACGACACTTACCGTCAGTGCAAATGATGCAACTGTTGTGGAAGAAAAATTAACTGTTGCGTTAAACAGAGTCATGGCATGGATTAAGGAAAATCGTCTTGTTCTTAACACTGAAAAAACTTGTGTCATGTTAATAGGCTCTCCTGCTAATCTCAAGAAAATTGAATCTTTTACCATTTCATTAAACGGCAATTTGATCAAAAGAGTTCAATTCACCAAATGCTTAGGACTTTTGATAGATGAAGAATTGAAATGGTCTAAACAAATCGAAAACGTAAGTAAACTTACCCAGAAAAACATTAGCATGATAAAGAGAGCAAAAAAAAATTTGCCTCAAAAATCCTTAAAGTTACTTTATAACAGTCTAGTGTTGCCACGATTAGATTACTGCTCTGTTGTATGGTCGAACCGATTTCATTCTCATACAACTAAGCTGCAAAAAATTCAAAAGAGGGCCGCAAGAATAATATTGAACAAGACATATGACACACCGTCGGCTGATTTGTTCACAAGTCTGAAATGGATGACACTAGAAAAGCGGTTTGAGTTAAGTCGCGTTATGATGATATATAAATGCGTTCATAACTTAGCACCTTCTTACCTTCAGGTAGGCTTAATCAATCCTAATGATGTACATGAGCATCATACAAGGCAAATAGACAGTGGATGTTTACGTGTGCCTAGATTTCACACTGATTGTTATAAGTGTAGCCCAATTGTTTCTTCCATATTTGAATGGAATAAGCTAGATAATTCATTGAGAACGGCTTCCTCTGTCAATTCATTTAAGAGATTGTTTAAACAAAGTTGTAATTTGTGAATGGCTCAGCCGTACATACACTACGTGCATGTTCTGTAATATTTACATGACTTATTCACATAATTGCGACTTAATTAATATTTTCCTATTGACATTACTGTTTACTAGGTTAATGATTATATTTATTTTGCAAACGAGTATTATTTTTGTAACTGTTCTGTATAAATGTTATAAACGATGTAAATATGTTCATTCAGGGCCCCATGGAAGACCACTACTTGTTGGTGAATGGGCTACCCTGTCAAAATATTAGAAATAAATAAATAAATAAAAATTTACAGATTTTGTTGAAATGGACCTGGACCCCACCAAGGGCCTTAAAGCGTGCCCCTGGATGCTCATCTGATCGTAATTTAGTGCTTAAAATCCCTGAGCTTCTGGGGTTCCGCCCCCGGACACCACTCACCTTAGTGACCTGCATGCCAGTGTCACAAATAAGGTATTAAAATATGCTCATCTGACAGTAATTAAATGCCTAAATCCCCTGAGCTTCCGAGGCTTCGCCCCTGGAAGCCACCAGGGGCCCTAAGGCAGGCCCCTGGCCCTGGATGCTCATCTGACCATAATGAAATGCCTAAAACCAGCTTGACCCTCGCCGGGGCTTTGCTCTACCTGATCGTAAATACTTCAGCCCCCCCCCCCACACTTTGAAAAATGTTCCACGGTGCCTGCATGTAACATGTAAGAATGGTGGTGATGCAGATTTTTTCTGCCCCCCCCCCCCCCGCAACGTTTTTGGTCATTACGCCACTGCTCCCTCGTCCCTCGCATTTCGTTCCCCCGGTCATGAAAATAAATCGCCGCCCCTAAACCTACGGCACACGAGACGTTAAGTCGCTGAGACCAACAGCTTACGAGAAACAATGGTCTGGTTTAACGATAACAATAATGGTCACCGTGAGGGTATATGGCAATTGCTAACACAAAGGTTTCCGTCATCCGATCAGGTTCCCATTCTCTCCATGGTATGGAGTGGCAAATGTGGATTAATGCCTTGCCAAAGGACACTAGTACCGAGGATCAAACCTTGAACCTTGAACCTTGAACCTGGAAGAATTACTTTCCCAAAAGCGTGAACGCTGTCCTGGAGAGGACTGTCCTGTGTTGCGTGCTGTTGGTGATGTGCTGTTGGTGAACCCACGACCTATCCTCAGAATGCTGCCAGAAGTATGATGTGAGTATCCTGGGATGTTAGTTTGTGGGCTGTAGCACTTACCGGCAGCTGCTGCATCTCTCCAATACCACAATTTATTGTTCTTCCGATGGACGTATATGTCATGGTCTTCATCTTCTTTAACTTTAACATTGGCGATTAAATTTGTGAGACGATAAGTGAAAATTTTTATTTTCTGTAAATTGTTACACTGTTTGAAGGTTTGTTGATATCCAGTATGATCTCATTTCCCCTCCCCTTCATCATGTTGCAGATGAGGTTCGTACCGGTACCTACCGTCAGCTCTTCCACCCTGAGCAGCTGATCACTGGCAAGGAGGATGCTGCCAACAACTACGCCCGTGGGCACTACACCGTCGGCAAAGAACAGATTGACATCGTTATCGATAGAATCCGCAAGCTGGTAAGTGACGTATCCTCCTCGTCCACACCATTAAAAGTGTTTGCAATGGAGCATCGCTTTAGTGGGGATGGGAATGGCGTTGAAAACGGAGTCCGTATAGACATTAGAACAACACGGAGATGGGTAACAAGATGATAAGAAGGAAAAAATGTAGGACCCGTTCCTACGCTGTACCCCCCCCCCCCCCCCCAATCGATGGTGTCGCTATAAATTCGCCTTTCATCAAAAGGGAAGTCCACCCTGATATTAAGTTTGTTTTAATACAAGCAAAATATGAGAGAAGCAGGTCAGCAAAAATCGGCTAAAAATTAGAAAGTTATGAATTTTTGAAGGTACGATCAATTAAACACAAATTGGCAACTCTGTGACGTATCTTGCGAGCTCCCTTCTGGTTTGCCCTGTTCTAAAAAAAACTTCATATTTTCCCTTAGGAAAATTGTTTAATCATACATTCACCCGAAATATAAGTTTTGCAAAAAAATTGTATACATTCCCTGTATGAAACAAATCAATTCCGTCATCAATAACTTTATAACAATTTTCTGTACAGAGCAAATTGGAGAGGAGCTCGCAAGATACGTCACAGAGTTGCCAATTTGTTGTTGATTGATTGCAACTTTTTAAAAATGCCTAACTTTCGAAATTCAAGTTGCTTTATTGGTTTTCGCTCAAAATTGATTTCAGGATGGTCCTTCCCTTTACCCAAGACCGGTGCTCCCCTACCCACTGACCGCGCAGTGGCTGACTAGACCAAGATCTTGACTAGACCCAATGCTACTCTTTTGTCAGTTCAAACCATTTCAGACATCCCCTGTAGGAGTATATTATTATTGAGTGATGTCTGCAATATTGAACATGTCACCTTTTGAAGAATGCAAGGTCCAAATGCAACCTATCAGGTTGAATACTGTTCCCCTAATGATGCAGCTAATCAGCCCTTCGTGTAGGATTTTAATTTGTATTTCATATAAAGGTTTTTCAGAAAGATCCTCATCAGAGTGTTCCGTCCGTAGAATTCTAGAAAGTTGTACTTTGTTCATATTAAACATTAAAGACCTTCGGTATACAAGAGATTTAGTAACCCGTGAGTTCTTCCTCAAGTACTACGTATTATTATGATTGCAGAGTTTAAGAAAATAGACATGTGATATGATCTTAAAGGTATTACAAAGTTTTGGGAAATTTGGAAAAATGGGTGGATAGTGATTTTATACAATTTTGATATATTTGGATGCCCCTGTGGATGTTTTTAAAACATCAGAAATTTTAGCCCCTAAAACACTTCTGCCTTCGAGAAAAATTGAATATAAAGATTTACCGGTGCTCCCGGTAAATTTTGATAAATTTCAAATAGCTCCTACGGCCGTATAATGGTAGCTGCGACCATGAAAATCTCAGAGTTTATAGTTGTGGTATATAATTTCCGAGCGAGAATAGCTAATCGGTCGATTTTAGTCAATAAACATTGTTTTATAGCTTAATTAATATCTTGACCTTGAGAGGGAGCTATTCAACTTAAAATGTTTATTATTTACAATTTCATAACTCTAGAGTCGATTTCGACCGCGACAACGATCACTGAATATTGTATGATCATATATGTTTCCAATATGTTCATTTGAACCAAATTCATGACCCCATACCAAAACTTTGTATTACCTTTAAACCTTAATTGTGCTATGTTCTCATACCCGCAACGTTTTCAAGCGAGAAGTGACAAGCTATAGGGTGACATTTTAGAAGTGGAATATGAAAACAAAAGTGTAATTTGGTAAGCTCTATTAGAATCAAGCTTCTATATTACTGGAATTCCTTACATGTATTGCATTTCGCATTTTCTTTTGTAGAGAACATTTAAAACAATTTAAAATTTTCATCACTAATAAATATAATGTAAAACAGATTGAAAATTGCTGGTTTCATCGATGATGAGGAAATGAATTTGCAAATTTAGATTTACTGAAATTTATGGTTTTTACCTCCTTACAGGCTGACCAATGCACAGGTCTCCAAGGATTTCTCATCTTCCACAGCTTCGGTGGCGGCACTGGCTCTGGCTTCACCTCCCTGCTCATGGAGCGTCTTTCTGTCGATTACGGAAAGAAGTCCAAGCTTGAGTTCTCCATCTATCCGGCACCCCAGATAGCCACTGCCGTAGTCGAGCCCTATAATGCCATTTTGACAACCCACACCACCCTGGAGCACTCCGACTGTGCCTTCATGGTCGACAACGAAGCCATCTACGATATCTGCCGTCGCAACCTTGACATCGAGCGTCCCAGCTACACCAACCTCAACAGACTTATCTCTCAAGTCGTCTCCTCCATCACCGCTTCTCTGCGATTCGACGGCGCCCTCAATGTCGATTTGACCGAGTTCCAGACCAACTTAGTGCCTTATCCTCGAATCCATTTTCCCCTGGCTACCTATTCACCCGTAGTCTCAGCTGAAAGGGCCTTCCACGAGCAGTTGACCGTTGCTGAGATCACCAACGCCTGCTTCGAGCCCTCCAATCAGATGGTGAAGTGCGATCCCCGTCATGGCAAGTACATGGCTTGTTGTCTTCTATTCAGAGGTGATGTCGTCCCCAAGGATGTCAACGCCGCCATTGCTACCATCAAGACCAAGCGTTCCATCCAGTTCGTCGACTGGTGTCCAACTGGCTTCAAGGTCGGTATCAACTACCAACCACCCACCGTCGTCCCTGGTGGTGATCTTGCTAAGGTTCAGCGTGCCGTCTGCATGTTGAGCAACACCACCGCAGTCGCTGAGGCCTGGGCCCGTCTCGACCACAAGTTCGATCTGATGTACGCCAAGCGTGCTTTCGTCCATTGGTACGTCGGAGAAGGTATGGAGGAAGGAGAGTTCTCCGAGGCTCGTGAGGATATGGCTGCACTGGAGAAGGACTACGAAGAAGTTGGCATGGATTCTGTAGATCCCGCAGACGAAGAAGAGCAGGATGAATATTGAAATAATGGGACAGGGAGCACTACAAGAGTTCTGTTAGGAAATACGAAGTTAAATAATGGGCTTAACCACCAACTTCTATTCCTTAGATAAATTCAGATCCATAAATGATATCAAAAGGAGAGACAGTTTCAATCATGAAACTTGTTTTTTTTTTAGAGAAAAAAACAACAACCATACTTTTATACTTATTTGTAAAATCACCCCTTTGGGATCTCTTGAATAATTATTTTTCAGTCGTGAGTAGAAAGGGAGTATATTATACATGACCATGTAACATCATTTATGTACCTCATGCAATATTTCACGTACGTGGATTAATAATTTTTCAGTTTGTGCAAAGATTTAGCAATAAAAATTCGGAAAGGAAAGAAATGCATCTAAAAATGTATGTGGTTTTGTATGATACATTTACTCAGGCGCGTACGTAGTAGGGGGGGGGGGGGATTCGGGGGTTACCGCCCCCCCCCTTTTGGGTTTTTTTATGTGTGTTTTGGAGGAACCCCCCCCCCCTTGTTTTTGTTTTTTTTCAACCTTACCCCCCCCCCCCCCCCCCCCCCCCCTAACGGAACGAAATGTCGATTCGGCAAATTTTCAAATGTTGAGACAAAAAAAAAAAAAAAAAAAATGTCCTCTTACCCCCCACCGCTTATTTAGCGGTTGGCTGAGTCGTTGAGAAAATTTCGGTCCTATTTAAGAATGTTTAACTCCCCCCCCCCCCCCTGAAAAAAATCCTGCGTACGCTATTGCATTTACTTAATGATGAAACAGAACAAGAACAATGGGTAAGAATGGAAGTTTATTCCCTTGGCAATATCAACATCCTTCCGAAAAAATTGTATTCGATTGTGGGAATACAGTGTATTTGTCTGCATGGCCCCTTCAACCCCCACTTTCACTAGCTGTAACAGAACTAGACCAGGGTCGGAGAGACGCAAATGAATATAAAGTTTATGTGAGAAAGCGGGGATCCTTCGCAATATTGAGCAAAGAAGAAAGCCAAAAAATAAATGCAGCGGTGGATGTTTTAGAAAAGTGTGTCGTAAACGGAAGTAAAAGAAATCAGTGCGAGGATGAATAAGAAGAGATAACGGGAAAGAAGGGTAGAGGGATCGGGAGAGAGAGAGAGAGTGAGAGAAAGAGAGAGAGAGAGAGAGAGAGAGAGAGAGAGAGATTGGGAGAAAGAGAGGTAGAGAAAGATAGTGCTAATAGGAAAATACATATACATTAATTTATTTTAAAACAGTCATCCTGTAATCTGTCAAAAGATGGCGCGCTTGACAATAGACCAAGAATACTCATGACGAAAAACTCGCTCTCCGACCCCGACCCCCATACGGAATTTTCTGTCACTGTCACTCTGTCCTATTTTAAAGAACATACATTCACTTGTAATCATTGGCCTGCTGAAGGATTACGTATTGATGTTATGATTCGATACAATGACAGGGCACACGTGTCCTATGTTATGAGGTGGTGACACCCCGTAATTTAAGTCGATAATCAATAAGCGCAGCCAAACGGATAATCTGTTTGATTGAGTGTGAGGTAGACCGTGACAACGAATCGAACTAAGTGCAAAGACAGGAACATCATTAAAGAAAAACTTGAGTTCTGGTAAAAAAATAAATAAATGAAATCTCACAGAATCAAACGAAACTTTCACTGAATGTTCAAGATTACAAATAAATGTCATTTGGCAAACAATTTTGGTAGAAAATGTACATTGGCTGAGTAATGAGCATAGAAAGATAAGGAAATCAAGGTTAGTAGCCATTTGTGTAGTCCCATATATATCTTTCTGTGTACAGTGTTTGTTACTTTACCAAGACTGGGCCAAATTTATTATGATTTTGATGACTCCAGAACCTTGCAGTTCACATCAATACTTACATGTTACATGATCAACTTTTTCTGATCCATTCCACACCTTTTCTTTCACAAGGCAATCGCATTACCAGAATTCAACTTTATCTTTAAACTTCATTCTACAAGTAAACATAGTACACTCAGCCTCAGCATACATTGTATCAATTAATATATCAATTTCAAACCTATTACAACATATTTTATAGGTTATGTGCTTTCTTTCGTTCAATCAATATGTGATTCAAAGCTGTGCCAGATTCTCTGTCAAAACCACTGTTGGCCAAAAAACTGGAATGCTTTTTTTTTTTTTGTTACCTCTTTTCATGAAATGATTACTACATTATGGTCAGATGACTGAAGAGTCATAGAGACTGATCGATAGAGTTCTGTAAAGGATATCATTTTTTATCTGTCAACTATAAACCATTATTTTCACAATCATTTCATGAAATTAGGTAAGGAAAATTATACCAAATAATTATGGGCATCAGTGTCAAAGGGGTGGTACTACAGCAAACATGGATATTGTCGAAGACATCACATTCACTAATCGATATACCACGAGACCAACAACCTAAACAAAATGACAATGACGCTCTCTTAAGAAAAGTTTCCAATAGGCCCAAGAGATCGACCCGTCAGCTAGTCGGTCCAGAATGTTGAACGTCGGTCTTCAGAACCGTAAGGCCCGCTTTTAGAAGTCCCGCAAGGCCGACATTACCGGTTTCAAGGGCTGTCGGTCTCTATATGGAAAAAAAAATCCGGAGACGGCACCGGAGTCATGAATCCATCATGCAGTGTTTTTTTGTTGATAAATGTCTCTCTCTTGAAAAAAAAAAATCCATTAATTTTTTTACATCAAGGTATAGCCAACTTATCGTGGAGGTCATTTTGCATGTATCTGTATAAATAAACTCCGGTTTTCTTTAGAAATACGTATGACGGTTGAACGACAGTACAAACAAGTGGTGACCCTAAATCGATACGATCAATAGCCATATGTGTGGTTGGCTTGAGAGGTGGCTTGTCATTTGTCTAATTTCCCGATACATAATGACAGGATCAATGGCGAAATCGGTTACAACAAAAGTTATGACTATATTAAGAATAATGATAATGAAATGAGACACAGGAATGGGGGGGGGGAGAATGACAGAGAGAGAGAGAGAGAGAGAGAGAGAGAGAGACGAAAAGAGAGCAGAGAGAAGGACTTATAAATGAGAGGAAATACCATACAGACCAAATAGGCAGACAGTCAGTCATTCTTGAAATAATTCATCGTCTGTTCGAACGGAGCCAGAAGAGTTTTATCACAAGTGCAACAGAACAGGATGAAACTATTAAACTGTTTGATACATTTTCAAGCGTTTTTAATAACTTTTAAAAACAGATTAAGAAGAATTTAAGGAAATATAGACAATACAGAATCTTTCAAGTTGTGTAATATGAAAGGAAACCAAAACCTTCATACTAAGTTATTTTTATTGTAAAGTTTAAAAGATTTGAATAAAATCAGTGAAAATTTGAACAAAATCGGACAAGGAATAAGAAAGTTAGAGCTTTTTGAAGTGACTAGTCACTAGAGGGCGGTATTCAATTTGATGACATCCTCTGTGAACAACTCTCCATGCCTTCTGTACATAAAATTTCACAATTTGTTTGTTTTCTTCGTATTTATTTGTGTTCTTGATCCGACTTCATAACATGTGAAGTAGAATATCATTTTGCATTCTATATCTTGCTTTCAGGGGAGTACATTATCTCAATCACAAGAAAGAAGGAAAAACATGAAATTTGATGTACAAAAGGCATGGAGAGTTTTCCACAGATGATGTCATCAAATTGAATACCGCCCTCTAGTGACTAGTAATTTCAAAAAGCTCTTACTTCCTTATTCCTTGCCCGATTTTGTTCAAATTTTCACTGATATTTTTCAAATATCTTAAACTTTACAATAAAAGTAACTTGGTATGAAGGTTTTGGTTTCCTTTAAGTATTGAGGCAGTTTTAGAGCATGGACAGTTTTGTCAAGAATATATTGTTAAAATTGACCTTGACATAATTGTGCGCAGGAAAAATAGAAAGTATAAAAATAACACGGAATCTCATTATCCTCGTGTAGAAAATTACGATCGAGAAGATAACATTTAATTATTGGGGGCCTAAGTAGTTCAACGATCTGACTTCTTATTTAAATATGGAACAATTTAGCCTACTGCAACATTGCAAAACTCTATTGGCCGACAATAGTTTTTCGAGTTCATAACTCGGTTCGGGAATACAACGTGTTCCTGCTTTGTATGCGCGGTCTTCCTTTCGTGTTCTGTAAAGCAGATCGAATTATATCATCTTTGTGTGGTCAGAAAACTGTTGTACCTTTTGAAAGATGTGGTTACATGAGGCACCATTTTTCGTTCGACCCGTGGTCTGGGCAGGGAGGTGAACTCACATGCCCTGGTCTGGGGGTCTGGGACTAGCCCGCCAACTGAAAATGACCGCTCCTTGCACTCACAAACAATAAAACGCTCTCTGATTGGTTGAACTGATGTGGTTTCCCTGGAAACGCCTCGACTAGTCTGTTTGTTGACTTGGAGCAAACTGGAGATTGGGAGGTCCTTATAAAGAGTGCTCTAACTGGCCAAACGGCATTAGAATCACATTGCTTACGGCACATCATACGTTGCGAGCAGTTCGTGAAAATTTCACTACAAACAATCACATCATGGTAAGTTAGTTTTATTTATTCATTTGAAATCATAATTTAGTTGATCCGCAGAGGAATTGCTCTATTTCGTCAATTAATCTATAAAATACGAAATTTTATGACGGTTCCTACGGTTGCTATGAACGAACATGACGAGTGAGCAGAAAAGGGCATACTTGTGTAGTGTAGAATACTGTAGGTTTAATCAACTGGTACACTTTTAGGAGAGATTATTAAATCACAATTTAGATTTTGCTCATGCACCTTTATGGATAACGTATATTAGACATTATGGAATGCCTTTAGTAACGATATTTAAACAAAAACATATCCAGCCCTGTCAAGAAGATTTTCCGTAATATATTTCAGTTGTATTAAGGGCAAGGCTATTCATTTTTGCCAGTCATTTAGCCATTCGCAGTCTTGGTACACAGTCCAATTTAATAAAACAT